TGGCGATGGTGTGTATTGCTCTCCAAATCCTAAGTTTCCTGAAAATGGGTATGTGACAACTGTTGAACTAGACACACAAGAAGGGAAAAAAAAGTTTAAATGTATGTTGCAAGTAGCTGTGAATCCTGACGCTGTTAGATTTACGAAGAACAAGGATATATGGGTTGCACCTAATCCTGAAGACATTCGACCGTATGGTGTACTCATTAAAGAAGTTTGACTCAAATGTTCTTAGTAATGTCGCTTATTTTTAGTAATGAACAATTTCTTTTCTTAAGTATTTTGCTTTCTTTGTCTGGAAACGACTTCTTTGCTATTTTTACATTGTATGAGCTTCATAACTATCTTTTGAGGGTGTGTGCTGTGCAGGTGTGGATGTGTGTATCTTCTGCGACAATCATATTCACACCTATCCTTATTATATTTGGTTTTTATTTTTGGCCTCTTGCAATTCAGAAGTTTATAACAATTTTAGTCTTGCCCAACTTTTGTATATTTCGACACTTGCCTGGTATTTTCATTTCGGACTTTTTGATGTTTTACTTTTCAGATTATACAATGATTTTGTTCTTCAGCGTCATATATGTGCGAGTTCGATGTCCGAAAAATTTGACTTTATTAATATAAAGCTGAGTAAATTAGTCTTTGATAAACTTAACTTATTTATCAACGACAGAATTGTGTCAAACTATTTGTAATAGAACACATTGAATCGCTGCGACGATTTGCACAGATATTTATGAATGGCACAAAGTAGATCATTAGAATACGAGTAAAACATTAAACATGGGCATACCAAGTGTAGATATAGCGTTTTATTCCCTCGACTGAAAGGAGGGTCATACAAAAAAAATAGTTTGTGTGTGTGTTTGTGTCAGGGTCAAAAGAACATTTATGAGAGGTTAGCTTATTTTAGGGCCTTTCCAAGCTTTGATGAAACTTTGCTGTAGGTTATCGATGGCCCTGAATCCGAATCCGAAGCCCATTTTCTTGGCGGAGATTTCATTGGTCAGAAACGGGCCAATCAGAAATGAGCTTTTTTATTTTAAGACTTTTGGCCATTTTGATCGAACTTTGCTATAGGTTATCGATGGCCCTGAATCCGAATACGAAGCCCATTCTTTTGGCC